GCTCAGGTCATGATCCCAGGGTCCTGGGATCGAGCCCCGCATCGGGCTCCCTGCTCGGCGGGAAGCCTGCTTCTCACTCTCCCACTCCCCCTGCTTGTGTTTCTGCTCTCGCTATCTCTCTCTCTGTCAAATAAATCAATAAAATCTTTAAAAAAAAAAAAATTAAAGAAAATTCAAAATTCAGGTCCTTAGTCATAGTGGCCACATTTCAGGTGTCCCGGAGCCACATGTGGCCAATAGCTAACTGCCGTGGACGGGCAGCAGGAACAGAACACTCCCATGGTTGCAGCAAAGTACAGAGTCAATAGCTAGTTGGGTACTGAGTTTATTTTCTAATGGTTTGAAAGTCCGGCTTGCTGTACCAGTCAGGCTTTGCACGGGTCAGAAACCGACCCCACTGCCCCCACATGACTTAAGCAAAACCAATAGAGAGTGGGGCTCCTGTTCTGTGCTATGAGGGTGGTGCAGCCCACTCGGGGCTCGGAAGGTGTCTCAAGGATCCATCTCCAGGCACCGCGTCCCCTGGCCGGCTGCATCCTCAGCCCCTGACTCACCTCATCGCCCACTCAGACCTAAATCCTGGACAGCTTCACTAGGCTCGTGTGCTTCTCCCTCGGCACGACGACCAGGGAGGTGGACTGTTCTGGTCTGTCTCCTGCTTAGGTAGAGTGAGCTGCCTCTGGAATTCATGGATTGAGGGGCAGAAAGGGCCGTTGCCCTCACAGGCAGGATTTGCACGAGTAGGGGGCAGGTGTCCACCGCACTCGTCCAGACATCTTGCTTACATTTGCCTGAAACAGTTTTATGGCCCACGTCATTATTGTGCGGCCACGAGAAACTTCCCTCGGTGTTCCTTGAATTTCCGCATCCTGTCTCGCTTTGTAGCAGGAATCCCTCCAGGGTAGTTGGAGAGGCCGGTGATGCACACCTGTGCCTTAGCGAGTGAGGGAGCACCCCTGCGAGGCCTTGGGGCACCCTGCCCTTGTGTTTGTGTGGCCAGAGCCCCGGGCCTGCGCCTGGAACTCCCGAAGCACATCTTCCCCTCCGCCGTCCTGTCTGTGCAGAACAGGCATGGCCTGGAAATCTCCAGGTGGTGCGTCTTTGAGCTTGGTGCCGACACTTGCTCACAGGGGGAGGCATAGCCTGCATGAGGGTCGTGACCGAGCCTGCCCTTCCCCTGCCCTGGCATGGTGACTGGGCTGTAGGAGGGTCCGGATGTCTCTGCCTTCCCGAGTGCACGGAGCTGCTCAGCTTCAGACGTGACAGCTTCAGACGTGACAGCCTCAGACGTGACGGGGGCGGCGCCCTGGGACTAGCTGTTGGGCCACAGTGACTGAGCTGGTGGTATTTGTTACCCTTTATTGTTTTGTTCTCAAGTCTAATTGCTGGATTTTTAAATATTCTCTTGCTACTCATAAGCTGAGGTCATCACAATGAATCATCTTAAGTCAGTCGGGGAAAGGTCCCTACGGTTGCTGATTTTCACTTTAATTCTGAACGATAATCATTTTATTAGAATAAATAAGTGACTCGATTACAAGTTCTATTTTGAAAATGTTGGTTTGATTACCTGTTTCTTCAAGGGGAGCCAGGGTGAGGTGTCGCTAACAACGGGCAGTAGTTGGAATAAAGGCAGAGAGACAATACGAGGTTCAGAGATGGAGTCCCCAGGTTGGCAGTAAAAGGGTAAATAGAAGCGCAGCCTGTGAGCCACCGCACGCCCTCCGTGTCTCAGGCTGGCGTGCAGCCTTTCCCGGTGCCCGATGGCCCGGGTGCCGTGTGCGCCCCCTCGGAGTGCCTCGGGGTGTCACTGGTGAGTGCCGCGGGTCTGTCCCATGCGGAGGGACAGAGGGAGAGTCTGAGAGGGACGGCAGCCCTGGGATTCTCTGCACTCAAGCCGGAGCAGACCGCTGGGCAGGGTGGAGGGTCCATCTGGGTTTCCCGGGGAGTCTCCGGCCTGGGCTCAGGAAGGACCTGGGGCGGCTCGGCTGTCCTCCCTCCACCGGGGGCTCCGACGCTCACTCGGCTTCCACGTGGGCCCCGGGCCCCGTCAGGGGGGTCGCGTGCTGGCTTCCTTCCCAGCTTCCGTCTCACCTTTCTTGCAGTGTGTGTCCCTAATTTCTTGGGAGTTTTCAAAGCTGCCCCAAGCTGATTTTCCTGCCGCACAGCGTGGAGTTCTCCCTCAGTCGGCACACCGGGGCTGTGCCCGCCGCGTGAGGCGGGGCTGGGCGGCCTCCCCTTCTCCGGCCTCTAGCGCCTCGGAGCCTCCTGCGCTCGGTCAGAGTGCCGTGTACGGTGTGTGCGCATGGACAAGTCTTGACCAGTGCCAGAGCTCAAGTGGCTGTTCCCAGACATCGCGGGCGGGTTCTTGTCTGGGGTTGAGATGGGCGCCCTGAGCCAGTTTAGGCCGACCCTTAGAGATGAGCTCACAGCGCTGCTGCCGTGGAGGCTGGGGAGGGAGGACGAGGTCTCTGCCCTCCTCCTGCCGGCTCCCGTACTGAGTTACTGCGGGGGGAGAAACCTCTTGGGACACGGCGCTCTGGGAGCAGGGCGTGGTGTTCTTGAGCATCTCAGTCCTGCTGCCTTGCACACATGCCCCCTTGGGCCTCTGCTCACGGGAGAGCAGGTGGGAGAGAGTGCCGTGAACGTCAACGGCAGGGGGGCAGGGACACGGCCGAGGGGTGAGCGAGGCTTTAGCAGGAAGCACTGTCCCCTTGTCCAGTGGGCCTTGTCCACGTGGACCACAGGGACCCAAGAAGAGGACGGGAGCAGTTGCAGGATTCCGCAGCCCTGCCCTGCAGGTGCACCCATCCCTTAGGCTCAGCACCTGCCTCCCTTCGTCCCGAGTGTCCCAGCTGAGTCCTTGGAGGCCCATGATGCCAAGTGCAGAGTCGCGGTGCATCTCGCGGTCTGTGTGGTCATTTAGAGCGAATTGAGGAATGACCTTTCTCGGGGACAAAGGCAGGCAGCCCGTGGGCTGGGATTCAGGTTCAGGTTTGGGTGGGTTTGGGGTTTGTTTTGTTTTTGTGAACTCATTTCTTTTTTTTACACTGTGACGTGGACAATGTCAGTGTCAGCGGACATGGGATTGCTGCCTCATTTTTAAAGGCTGAGCGCTGTTTCACTGTCCGGTGCGCCACGTGGAACCAGTGCCCCCGAGGGTCGTTTGGGTGGTGTCCAGGTCGTAGTCGTTCCATAGGGGTGTGCTGTGGGGCCTTGGTGTGCAGCGTGCACACTCGGGTGAATGCTCTTCAGAAGAAATTGCTAGAACTGCCATTGCTCTGGATGATGCTCATAGCTGATGGGCCCCCCGTCTCTTGGTCCGTGTGCTGGCCTTCCCGCCGTGGGGATGCAGAGGACGTCCCCTCTGTGTCTGTGTCAGGTGGATGAAGGGGTTTATGGTGGACAGTGGGTTGAGAGCAGGACTGTGCTGGATCAGCACATGCAGACTGGCTTGTGCCCGCAGGCTGCCTGGGTAAGGGTTGCCGTGCGAGCCTTGTTTTCCCGTGTTCCTGAGCGCACAGCACCGTGCGTGGGAGGTCCGCGGCACGGTCACTGAGGTGTGTTGTGAAGGGATGGCCACAGTGGGTTTAGTTAACATCTGTCAACTCACACAGATACAGGAAGGAAAGAAGGAAGGTTTTTTCTTTTGACAGAGTTCTTAAAATCAAAGAGGGACCTCTTTTAGTTCAGGTCTTGTTTAAAAATTATCTTCAGATTGGTGTAGAGATTCCTAAAAGCCGAATCCTGGAGGTTGGAGCATTTCTCTGTCAATGGAAAGTCACAATTATTTATGAAGGAGCAAGCGCGGCTCTTTTCCTAACACGGTGTCCTTGCCACCGTGTTCCCTGGACGAGGTCGAGCCCCGCCAGCTGCTGAACAAGCCCCGTCTGGGGAAATGGTCTCCTATACTCCTGGCATCTGCAGAGCCGTCACTTCTCCGGAGACACCAGGGCGAGATTTTAGAGCGATAGAAAGAGACGTGGTCCTTTCTAAGGGGTGTTGGTGCATTAAATGGTGTGAGGGCCCCAAAGTTGAAATTCTGTGTATGTGCATTTTGAAATGTCCTATTTTCACTCTTAACATCCCGATGTTTGCTTCCGTCCCCAGGAAGCCAGTACTGTGTCTTGTGCGCTACCGGCCGGAGGCAGACCTTTGCCAGCTTCAGACGTTAAACCCCCAGAAGGGCCCTCCAGCAAAAGTAGAGACCCACCGAGGGAAGAAGAGAAGGAGAGGAAGAAGAAAAAGCACAAAAAGCGGTCTCGCACAAGGTCGCGCTCCCCCAAGTACCACTCATCCTCCAAATCCAGGCCCAGGTCCCACTCGAAAGCAAAGCACTGTCTCCCCAGTGCCTATCGGACTGCGCGGCGCTCCAGGTACGTGTGCGGGGCACCCGAAGCACGGGGCTGCGGTGGGTGCTGGGTCCTCCTTCCCCAGAGTGGCAGGGGCGCGCGCACACCTGGTGAGCACTCCCCCACGGGTGCAGCTGGCAAACCCCATGACGCTTTCAGGTTGTCTTTGAGTTTAATTTCTAAAGCTCATCCGCTGCGGCCAGGTTTTTGGAAAATAGGTTTATATAAACTTTAACAGGTCTGTTCAATGTGTAAAACGTACAGGGTGGGGTGTCTTGTTTGTGGGCCTTTCCCTGCTAATTCCTTTTGCCCGTGTGCGTGTTGTGATGGGGGCTCCGCGCGGCCCCTCCTGCACGGCGTCCAGGCAAGCAGTGCCTGTTTCTTCCCCCCATCGATTTGCGCTTATGACCTCCCGTAAGAGGCGCTCTTAACCGCCGGGTTTGAGAAAAAAGATGAAGATTTCAGGCCACAGATACAAACACGGCCCTTAAAGGGTCACAGAATTCACTGCTCAGTGAAGCAGTTTTAAGTAACTGGCTTGCAGGAGGTTTGAAAAGCAGACCTCTGGTTTTAAAACCTGCATCATGCCTTGCGACCTGTTTCTAAGTGTTGAGTGCACTCTGCTTGCTTTCTCTTTGGCGCAACGCTTGGACCCCTAGGATCTCATTTTTTTCCTCTGTAATTGATGCTGGTTCTCCCTTCCCTGGGAAAGTGTACATGCCCTGCACTTCCTCTGTTTAAAACACATTTGCCTCTCCGAATATGTCCTAAAAACAACACGCTTTCCCTGTTTTTACCCAGACCAGATCTCAAAGGCTTGACGAGTATTTACACTTGTCAACAGTGAAATTGGATATTCTCCACATAAATACATTGGATCCTTGGCTGTCTGCAATTCTAATCGTTCTTTAGAAGTTCCATTGCTAATGTATTAACATAACATAATTAAAAAGTTCCATCGTGAGATGCACACACAACGTATACACACACGCAGGTACCCAGACACACACCCACACACTTGCTGTTTTTTAATTAAATGAACAGCTTTGCTGATAGAACTTCAATTTTTGGAAGCTCCCAGGAATTTGTATGTAAATCTCAAAACGTTTTGAAGTTTCTTTTTTGAGAGAGTTTCTTACCATATTGTATAGTGGACATAAGTCCCGTAGGCCCACACCACCCCTCTGAGCAATAACATGCCCGGTAAATTCTGGCCGATTGTCCTTCACCACACGGCTTTAACAAGACAGACCGTGATTCACTCCTACTCCCTAGTCTGGGGGCCTGGCAACGATGAGAGCTCCTCGCGTCTTCAGTGTGAGCTGTGAGTTCTGCTCTGACGTCGAGTGTTGAGCAGGTACGGCATGAAGTGTAGCCCACCCCCAGTTGTGAGGAGGGTGGTGCGTCGGCCATGCACGTCCCCCCAGCCTGTTCTCTTCACAGCTGAGTGCTCGTCTTGACACTTAGAATTTTAAGATTCTAGGTTTTATGTGCTTTTTATTGACTGTAATAGAGTAAGTCGTTTTATGTTATTTTAGTACTTGTTTTAAGGTTTTATTTATTTGAGAGAGAGAACGAGCGAGCACAAGTGGGGGAGCGGCAGAGGGAGAGGGAGAAGCAGGCTCCCCGCAGAGCAAGGAGCCCGATGTGGGACTAGATCCCAGGACCCTGGGACCATGACCTGAGACACTTAACTGACTGAGTCACCCAGGTGCCCCCATTCTAATACTTTTTAAATAATTGGTATTTGTTTTTGTTTTTTGAGAGAGGGAGAGGAGGGGCAGAGGGAGAAGGAAAGAGAATCCCAAACAGGCTCCACACCCAGCACAGAGCCCGACGCGGGGCTCCATCTCACAACCCCCAGACCATGACCCAAGCTGACCAAGCCACCCAGGCACCCCTAAGTAATTGTTCTAGAAAAGATTTAGAGTTACATACTTTATATCTGAATATATTTTATATTTTTCTGTATATTCAGTGCTGACAAGTGCAAGAAGCAAAATCCTAATCCTTAGTGTGTAACCTTGAGTTACAAAAAAAAAATTAAGTTAAAGATTTTCTGCATTTGAGTCTGCGATGGCAGGCTGCCAGCTTCACCTTAATTTGACCTACAGTGAAAGTTACCTGTGACCCGAGCTGAGTTTTCATGACTCTCAAACTGTATCAATCCCGGTGGCTGAGTATCTCCATGATGCTTTGGGCTGACTGTAGGTACAGGGCTAAGTTCTCAGTTCCCTGAAGCAGCCACGTTCTCCGGTTTCTGATTTTGCAGTTCACGTAGGATATTAAGGTAAAGTGCAGCTTTGTTATAAAATATTAAAAATTACATCGTAACACAAAACCTTCGAAGTGTTTGGTATTCCATGATGTTTTGCCTTGGAAAATCGTATGTGATGACAATGCTTTTTGAAGCCAGACCCGCCCCCCACCAAGCTCGGGGCCTGGAGATGAGAGGAGGGGCCAGCTATCCCGAGGCCCAGGGCCGCTCAGAGGAGCTGGTGGCTCCTGCCGGTCGCCAGGGGCGTCCTGCCTCGGCTCGGGGCTGAGAACGGCATGTGGGCTTCATTTGGGAATGCTGCGTGTTTCCGCGGGCGGCTGCCCCTGCTTTCTCAGTCCAGATGCTGCCAGCACTGATAACTCCAGGGGCCCCGGTGGGTTTACACCAGGAGAGGTTGGTGTTCTCAGTAATGGAATTCGGATGTGTGAAAAATACTCCAGTTTTAACCAAATCCTGAAGTTGCTAAAGACACTGTCATCATTTTTCCTTGACTGTCTTTTCAGATAGCATTACCCTTTACAGTAACGCCTACAAAGGACCTATCAGACTTGTTTCTTGGGCCTGATGCACGACTTAATCGATTGTCTTAAAAAAGACTCCTGCCAACTCCAAGTAAAATGCACATTTGTCAATATTTGTAGCATTCTGTGGTTGAAATGCATTTTCTTTTACATATTAAATTACTGAAGTGCTTTATAAATGTACAAAGTTAGGGTTAGAAGGCCCTTTCCTAGCAGAAGTGATCTCTGTGTGAAGATAAGGGATGTTCGCATGTCTGCCGTCCTAGTACCCAGTCCGTCCGAGGTGTAGGTGACTCTGGGTCTCCAGAGGCGACCCGGTCATAGAAAAATCTTTAGTTTCGGAAATCGGTATATTGCTTCTTAGAAAGCACAGTGATTAACCACATAGTGCTAAGTGTGTTTTAAATCAACATTAAAGTGTAAGACTTTCTTTCTCTGTTTTTTAGTTTTTTTAGGTTTTGTTTTTATGTTTTTTTAGAGGATTTATTTCTTTATTAGAGTGCAGACGGCTGGGGGGTGGGGGGCAGAGGGAGAGAAACTCAAGCAAACTCTGCACTCAGCACAGAGCCCAGTGCAGGGCTCGATCCCACGACCCTGAGGTCAGGACCTGAGCTGAAATCAGAGGAGTCGGAGGCCCAACCGACTGAGCCACCCAGACACCCCCTCTGTGTTTTCTGTTTATGCCTCACCAGGTTCTCGCCGTAAATGGAACAAAGTAGTAATCAGGCCATTCCTGTATCACCTAAAAATTCAGCTTTAATGGTTAGGTCTTTTTAAAATCTTAAGAGACTCTAAAGCTTGAACTTAAGTTTACTTTAAGAACGTTGGAGATCGGGGCGCCTGGGTGGCTCAGTCGTTAAGCGTCTGCCTTCGGCTCAGGTCATGATCCCAGGATCCTGGGATCGAGCCCCACGTCGGGCTCCCCGCTCTGCGGGAAGCCTGCTTCTCCCTCTCCCACTCCCCCTGCTTGTGTTCCTGCTCTCACTATGTCTCTCTCTGTCAAATAAATAAATAAAATCTTAAAAAAAAAAAGAACGTTGGAGATCACCTTTGGTGTTTGTTCCATCGGCTTGTTGGTGTTTAAGGGATGTCCGTGGGGGACAGATTCCAGGTAGAACTCTGTGTCCCCCATTTTACAGTATTGTAAAAGCATTGGGGGCAGTGTCTACACAGTCCCCAGCTCCCTCGAGACTTCTGCTTGGTAAGGAACTGGGGATTAGAATGACATTTTCTAAGTCATAGTTAACATTCAAAAACAGCTTAAGCCTGGGGCGCCTGGGTGGCTCAGTCGTTAAGCGTCTGCCTTCGGCTCAGGTCATGATCCCAGGGTCCTGGGATCGAGCCCCGCGTCGGGCTCCCTGCTCCACGGGGAGCCTGCTTCTCCCTCTCCCTCTCCTGCTGCTTGTGTTCCCTCTCTCGCTGTGTCTCTCTCTGTCAGATAAACAAAGTCTTTAAAATAAAGAAAACAACAACAAAAAAACAGCTTAAGCTGGCAAAATTGGGGTAATGATGGTCATTCGTACAGTCTCGTCATCCTGCGTAGGATTCCCTAGATGTGACGCTCAGTGCTTAGCGTGCGGGTGAGGGCCAGCTGTTCTGTTCTGTGGAGCCGACGCCTGCAGGCTGACCCCATCCGCAGCTGGGCGGGCGGAGACGCCGTGGGACAGCTGCCCCCCCCGCCCCCCAGCAGCGCCAGAGTGTGGTCGGCAACAGGAGCTCTTGGCTGCTCAGGCAGCGATGGAGGAAATGGGGCGGGGCCAGTGGTTAACCGTTGGAGGAAAGAAGCTTTTTGGAAACAGCACTGTCATTCAAATAAAAAGGCTCATTCTGCCTTTATTTGGAAGCAGACCGTTATTTATGAGGATTCGAGAAAAAGTATCTGAGTCGCATCATACAGATGATTTGCTTATAAAATGGAACTCCTGTTTCTCACGTGTGTTGTGCTAGCAATATTAACCACCTGGTTAACAGAATAAAAGCATTAGTGCTTCTTTAATTAAAATAAAACCTAAGTATTATCTGACAAAGCTCACTGCCCCCAGTACTGAGTGGGCTGCTTTCCCAGATGACTTCACATGTCCTGGGGGGCGGCCACCTCCCCTCAGACCTCCAGCAGTCGCTGCAAAGTGGTATCGGATCAGAGTTAGGGATTTGCAGGCACTAGAACTAACCCACGTTTCCTGATTATCGAGTGGATTGTTCTCCGTGTAAGCATTCCACGGGTGGTGTAGAGGTCTGATTACGCAGAGCTTTCTCCGGGGCTCTGATCCCACCCCGACCGGCATCCCGAGTTCTCAGTGTGAAGTGCGTGCCTCTGTGTCACATGCCCAGCCCCCCCGGGGCTCCTGAGCCCAGAGCGCAGCAGGGCCGCTCGCTGGGGCGGGAGCACAGACCTCAGCAGCCGTCAGCAGCTTCTCCCACCGACAGAGTTGACTCCCAGAGCTCTTTGGAGGGAAAACTCGGTAAAATGTCAAGGTGTCCGATTGATCTCACCCTTGTAATTTGTTACCTAAATCTTGGGAAAGGTCTGGAAAAAAACCTGTCAACACCATTTTGTAAGCCAGGACACAGCGGTGGTGGAGAATACTAAGCCAGTGACAGTTTACCTGGAGCAGGTTCATTCCGCGGCCAGTCTTTCTCAGGAATGACGCAGGGTTTTCTCTGTGACGCAGGAGTGGGGAATGTGATGATAAGCTGATGTTTGGAACAACAGTGTGTGTCACTTGGGGGTTTATTGTAATTAAAATGATTCAGTGTTACAGAATTTTTTATGGCAAAATCAGACTGCCCTTTATATTATTTTTGAAGGGGTTGTCATAGAAGCAGAATGAAAAGAAATTGGCTTTTTGTCCAGATTTTTGCTTACTCTGTGTCTTCCTGAAATAGTAATTTCACTGAATGAACAAAAAAGAATGCTAAAGCCATCATTTTAAGACCCTCCTTGGAGGGCCTTGACCCCCGGTGGGTGAGGGTCTGGGATTGGTATCCCTCTGAGCACTGGCCACCTCGAGTGGACCAGGCCACTACATGGATAGAGCGAGTGTCTCTCCAGGAACATGAGAAGGAAGAATAAAATATTTTAACGGATGGTTTGAATCCAGAGAATCTCCTCAACTAGATTATCATGCTCTGAATTGAACTGCTGTGGCCAGTTCATTGTTCACACCGAGAGGCCATATGATGGGTGTGCACGAGAGAGGCTACAAGGTCGTGGCTCTGATTAATCTGCTTTCTTCCTGTTGCCAGTATTCAGAACAAATAGAAACAACCCACTTGAATGTCAGCGCTTTTCCGTGTGTAATTTTGATCGAGATGTCCGTGAGCTGAAAATGGTTGAGGACAGTAAAATGCAGAGGCAAAAGGAAGGACGAGAAACCACAGGCCTGAGTTAGCCGTCAGTCACCTGTTCAGCCCTGGCGTCAGGGAGAGTTGGTGCTGCGGACCGGTCGGGCCAGCCTGACGGCTGCTCTGGACTGGGAGCAGTCTCTGTCTCTGCCTCGGTGTCTGGATTCAGTTCTGTGTCAGAGTAGTAAGGCCCGGGGCGGGGGGGTGGGCCTCCAGAGGGACAGAGGTGACACCTGCCGGGCACGCACAGACCAGGCCGAGGCCCGTCACTGCCTCAGCGTAGACGTGCTCACCTGCCAGCCACACAGACTAAAACGCCTCTTTTCCTCCAGGTCGCGATCCCGGTCTCCTCGGAGAAGAGCACACTCTCCCGAGAGACGGAGGGAAGAAAGGAGTGTCCCCACGGCCTACCGGATGAGTAACAGCCCGGGCGTCAGCAGGAAGCGGACCCGGTCCAGGTAGGCGTTGGAGTCCGTAGACACAGTCTGTGCTAGCAGGGAACGTGAACGTTTATGTGGACGGCTGGGGACAAGCAGGGGGGCCGTCCCTCCCAGACACTCAGCCCTCAGCAGCTCCTCCGTCACTCCTGGAACTGACAGCAGAGGGAGCTCCGTGTCCCTGGGGTTGGGGTGGCATCGGGCAGTGCCCAGCACCAGCCCCCGAGTCTAGCTACCCCCTGGACCCACACACACAGGTGAAAGGAAATGAGAAGTTGGAGTCCCGATGAATGCCTGCCACCCCCCAGGTAGCAGGTGCTGTGGGCGGGGCCTCGTGGCAGAGAGAGCACCATCCTCTGCCCCCTTGACACCCATCGTGGTTGCGGAGAGCTAGAGAGACCAGCTCCCGGGTCCATTACGGGAGGCCTCTCAGCCCCGACAGCTGGCCCCCAGGCCTCCTTCCCGGCCAGCCAGCGTCCTCAGCTCCTCCAGGGAGAGAGCACCAAGGCACCACACTAAAAATCCTGGCACCCCGCCCCCGTGACGGGGCACGTCTGGCCATCTGGGGCCTGCTGGCACGCCCGCCAGGAGTGTGGTGGTGGACGGGGCCGCCGGCCGGTGTTTCCATCTTGGCCACAGGGCACTATCTGGGAATCGTCCTGTCCTGCATGGGTGGTGCCACCCGACGGCTTCACATCACTTAGCTTCTTTGTTTCCATTCTCCCCAAAGGGAGGGGCTCTCGTTTTCTGTGTCCTTGCATGGGAGTTAGCCCGAGGCCCTGGCTCTGGTAGGCGGGCGAGGAGCGTCGTTCTCCCCGAGACAGACGTGCCCGGAGGAGGCGGGTGCGGTTATGTGTGTCTTTGCTTGGGTTTCGTAACTGCTGCTGAGCGTGTGTGAGTCGGGATGCTCGGGCTTCCCGAGCCTCCGAGATGACACACCTGAACAACCGGTGTCAGGAGCCCAGCCGTCCCCGGGTCCTGCCTGTCTGCAGAGGACGTGGGGCGAGCTGCCTCAGGTGCCCCTCCCGGTGGGGCTCGTAGCGGCAGCAGCTCTGGAAAGACGTTGCTAACGGGGAAATGTGCCTGCAATCTGGCGAGATCACTGGTAAAATGTGATCCTTCCCGGAAAGCAGCAGAGTCCACAAAGGAGCTATAAAGCCGGCAGAGCCAACAGATGTGCTCGCCGTGCAGGCTGACCGCGTGCTCGAGGCCTGGGCCCTGGGCCCGCATGAGGCGCCCGCCGCTGGGCCGGGCCAGCGTGATGGAGATCTGAATCCACGTCACGTTGTATTTCTTGAGCAAGTCATTATTTAACATTTGAAATTCATCGTCACCTCTGCTGTATGTAAAGGGCATGGTCTAAAATTAATTCTTGTAACAAAAGATCTCTCCCCACGGAAGCTTTCTTGCTCTGCCCTCAGATTAACCTTTGCATGAAAGGAACCGTCTCCGGAGAAGGTGGTGGTTGTATTAGGGATCGTGAGAACTTGTGTGATCGCTGGAGCTTTAATGAGTCGAACGAAGCAAGTGAAAGCTCAGCCGACCGCACTCCTGCCCGAGCGGGTGGGACCGCCCCACGCGCCTGACCCTGGGCAGTGGGAGGCTGTGCTGGGTCCAGGGCGCCAGGAGAGGGCACGTGTGTAGTCGCTGGTGCAAGCGTGCAAACCAGCCGTCACACCGCGTCCCCTGGAGCCCTCCACGCAGAGCAGGGGTGAGGCTGCTGTGTGCACGTAGCGGCAGGCGGCCAGTTCTCCCACCAGAGTTGAAGGCTCGTTTCTACAGGCTGAGTGCCCCTTTCACGGACTTCTTGTCTTGAAATTGTTTTAGTTTACTAGACAGTTTTGCACTTACTTCTGAAAACAGTACAGGGAGCATGCATATGCCTGTAAGTGCCGGCTCAATTCAGCAGGGTCACCACGTTTCCATCTTGCTGTCTGTCCTTCCCCTCCCTCCCTCTGCCCTGCCCTTGCCTGTGGGTTCCATGGCTTGCACTTGTCTTACCGCATGAGCATGGCTGGCTGGGTTCGTGTGAAACATTCTGGCAGGAGCACTACACGGGTGACGTGTCCCATCGTCAGTGATGCGCGCCCCACACGGGTCATCGGGCAGTGGCACCATGACGCAGTGCGTATGTCCCATTGGTCTAGCATCCACTGATGCTGAATTGGTTCTCACATCGGTGATGGCAAAATGGCGGCTTTCAAATTCTGTTTTTTCTTCTCCAAAGAAGACCTATCCCCTTTGTTTTGGTATATGAATCCATCGCCAGTATTACTCTGATGGTGACATCCGTCCCACACTTGGCCCCATTGTTCTTGAAGCACTTTGTTGCTTTTTGGCCCAAAATATTCCAGGCTTTGCTTTCCCTGTCCCAGCGCTGGGGTCAGCTATTTGTCCAAGGAACCTTGGTTCCTTTTACTGAGCTTTTGGAGATCAAGATACGGTTACGTTGAACATTTTTCTAAAGAGTAGAATCTCTGCGAATGTTTGGCCACATCGTACCACAGCGCACCTCAGCAGGATGCCCCAGTCTTTTGTTACAGTAAGTAGGACGTGATTCGTTGGGGTGGTTTGCCGTCGAACTCCTTTTGCTTAGCGCTGTGCCAGGCACATCCGTGAGTGCCGAGTGAATGGATGGGAACGTGCCGCCGTTACAAACTCTTACAGGCTAAGTGTTACCCGTTCACAGTGGACTTCGTCAGTGAAGTACGCATGTCTTCATTCCCTGGAGCAGCCACTAAAAAGAAAAAGGAGCTAAAAGCCAAGAGAGGACATAAGGCAGAACCTTAAAAATGCTTTATTAATTGAAAAGAAAGCAGAGGGGCACCTGGGTGGCTCAGTCGGTTAAGTGTTTGCCTTCGGCTCAGGTCATGATCCCGAGGTTCTGGGATCGAGTCCTGCATGGGGCTCCCTGCTCGGCAAGGGGCCTGCTTCTCCCTCTCCCTCTCCTGCTGCCCCTGCTTGTGCTGTCTCTGACAAATAAATAAAATAGTAGGAAGAAGAAATAAATAAATAAAATACTTGGGACAGGCACACAACCAGACCGCACGGAAATAGAAACTACACAGCCACCGCGCTAGCTCGATCACTGTGCTGTTGCGGAAGGCTCCAGAAGTCCCAGAAGACTAGATGGTGCAGACTATGTTCCCTTGCCACGTGGCAGCAAGTCTAAAAATCTATAAAAAGATATCTGGAAAATCTCCACATATTGGGAAGTTAGTACGTTTTTAAATTACCCATAGGTCAAAGACAAAATCACAAGGGAAAGTAGAAAATATTTTTAGATGAATGACAGTGAAAATGTAACAGCGAAATCTGTGTGCTAGTTTGCCTAGAAGGAAGTTAGTAGCTTTAAATGTTTGTATCAGGGAAGAAGAAAGATCTAAAAATAATGATCTAATCTTCTGTCTTAAGAAACTAGAAAAAGAACGAATTAAACCCAAAGTAGGTAGAAGCAAGGAAATAATAAAGGTAAGATCAGAAATCAAGAAAATAGAAAACACAATAATCTTAAAATTTGTATGGAACAAAAGATCCCGATTAGTCGTAACAGTCCAGAAAAAAAAACCCCAAAGCTGGCGGCATCACAATTCCGGACTTCCAGCTCTATTACAAAGCTGTCATCATCAAGACAGTCGTACTGGCACAAAAACAGACACATAGATCAATGGAACAGAACAGAGAGCCCAGAAATGGACCCTCAACTCTATGGTCAACTCATCTTTGACAAAGCAGGAAAGAATGTCCAACGGAAAAAAGACAGTCTCTTCAACAAATGGTGTTGGGAAAATTGGATAGCCACATGCAGAAGAATGAAACTGGACCATTTCCTTACAACACACACAAAAATAGACTCAAAATGGGTGAAAGACCTCAGTGTGAGACAGGAATCCATCCAAATCCTAGAGGAGAACACAGGCAGCAACCTCTGAGACCTCGGCCACAGCAACTTCTGGCTAGACATGTCTCCAAAGACAAGGGAAACAACAAAGGCAAAAATGAACTACTGGGACTTCATCAAGATAAAAAGCTTTTGCACAGCAAAGGAGTCTACAAAACTAAAAGGCAATTGACAGAATGGGAGAAGATATTTGCAAATGTCCTATCAGGTAAAGGGCTAGTATCCAAAATCTATAAAGAACTTACCAACTCAACACCCAAAGAACAAATAATCCAATTTAAAAATGGGCAGAAGACATGAACAGACATTTTTCCAAAGAAGACATCCAAATGGCCAACAGACACATGAAAAAGTGCTCAACATCGCTCGGCATCAGGGAAATCCAAATCAAAACCTCAATGAGATACCACCTCACACCAGTCAGAATGGCAAAAATGAACAAGTCAGAAAATGACAGATGTTGGCGGGGATGTGGAGAAAGGGGAACCCTCCTACACTATTCGTGGGAATGCAAGCTGGTGCAGCCACTCTGGAAAACAGTATGGAGGTTCCTCAAAATGTTAAATATAGAACAAACCTACAATCAGGTCATCTCACTACTGGGTATTTACCCAAAGAAAAAATACTGTTTGGAAAAGACACATGCACCCCCATATTTATTCAGCACTATTTACAACAGCCAAACTGGAAACAGCCCCGTCCATCGATTGATAAAAGGATAAAGAAGATGTGTTATATATACAACAGAATACTACACAGCCATCAAAAAGGAGTGAAATCTTGCCATTTGCAACGATATGGTTGGAACTAAAGGGTATTGTGCTAAGTGAAATAAGTTAGTCAGAAAAAGACAAATACTATAGGATTTTACTCATATGTGGACTTGTAGAAACAAAACAGACCCACAAATACAGAGAACAAACTGGTGGCTGCCGCCAGGGCCCAGGAGATCATGGACTGAAGGCGTCCTGGAGATGAAAGGCCCAGCGTAGGGAGTCCAGTCAGAGGTGTGGGTGACAGACGGCAGCATCTCACTCGTGCAGTCACCCTGGTGGCCAGAAACTAGTACGACACTGAGTGTTGTCTGTACTTCTGTTTTTTTTAAAAAGGGGGGGAGGAAAATAGACTAACAATAAAACTAAAAGATGGTTTTTTGAAAATGATCAAAAATCGATGTCTTCATTTAGATTGATCAAGAATGAGGGGCGCCTGGGTGGCTCAGTCGTTAAGCGTCTGCTTCGGCTCAGGTCATGATCCCAGGGTACTGGGATGGAGCCCCGCATCGGGCTCCCTGCTCGGCAAGGGGCCTGCTTCTCCCTCTCCC